TAACAATATACATTATAAATATTTATTTTTTCTTTCTAAGTTAGTAATTTACATGCAGAGATTGATAAATAATCCGTTGAATTGTCATCATAATTAGAAATAATATTTAAATTTTGATTTTTCTTTCTCAACTTATAATTTAGATGACAGTTCTACATATAACTCATTGGGATATCATAATTTATATCAATATATATAAGTATTTATAATATAATAATCTACATGACGGTTTGACAAATAGGCATTGGTTTTATGATTTTATTATTGTATACTTAATTCTCAAAATAGTTATTTACTTATAATTCATATTTTTTCACATTTATTTTTTAAGCTGAATAGGGATAAACATATCAATTATTGTTTTGATTTATTATTATACTAAATATATATTTTATACATACATTTATAATTTATTGCATGAATAACTTTGGACTAATTTGTATATTTAAATCTACATTAAATAATAAATTTGAATTCACTTTATTTGTACAAGCTTAACTAATAAATTTATTAATGCTATTAGAAAAAAATATCCCATAGAAATAGACATGTTTAATTTATGGAATTTAAATACACAAGTTTTATGTAATCTTGCACAATTTAAATTTCATATAACATTTTTAACAAACTAATATAGGTTAAGTGTATTATATATTGATTCTATATTTTCTTAATTTATAAGTATTATTTCATGAACACTTTTAATTTATAAATATTAATGAATATTTCTTACTCACATCAATTCGTACTAGTATATTTTTATAGAACTGATTTGTTACAAATTTTGCCACACATCTTTTTAATGGGTTTGTAAGTTGAAGCAAAGGGTGGATCAAAAACTCGTAATTTTTGGGTTTATAAATATATGCCCAAAAAACTACTCTATGTAACAGTAATGCTCCCCTATCTATGCTGGACACATGTTAATATGTACACTGTTTATGTGACATGGACACATTGGTGATGTTAATATATTCAAAAAAATACATCACCAATGCGTGCATGACACATAAACGGTGAGAATATTAATATATGCTCACCGTGGGTAGGGGAGCATTATCACTCTATGTAATTACCAAACCAAAAAATTACTTGCACCCAAAATCTTTATAGGCTATGATTTTAAATATCTACCCAAAAAACTACTCTATGTAATTACCAAATCAAAAAATTACTTTTACTTGCACCCAAAATCTTTATAGGCTGGGATTATAAATGTCTGCACAAAAAAATTATGCACGTAAGGCCAATATATAGTATATAATATTTTGATTATGATTTAAAAAAATATTTTGATAATGATTGTTAGACTAGATCTAGTGCATGCTTTATCTTCTCAAGTTCAACTAAAAGACAACTCCCAAGCAGATAATAGGCCGTAGTGGTTGAAAAACCGAAATTTTAAGACAACCATTTTACCTTATCCAAAAAAAGAAAAAAAA